CCTTCTCATCGACCAAGGTACTTCGCCCGGCGCCTGGTGTGTTGCCGTTGAACACGACACGACACGACACGACACACGACACACACAGGTGCGGGAGCTGCTGGAGCGCGGTGAGTCGGTGGCGGAGCTGTGCGGCGAAGAGGTCGAGGCCTACCTCCAGCACCACGACCTCCACAAGGCCTTCCTCAAGTAGCTGTCCGTACCGTATTTCGTGTAGTTAATGTACCACACACATGTTCGAACATGTTAAACAGCAACAAAGAGTATGTCGACACACTTGAATGTGGAATAAATAGTGTGGTGTGTGAGCGTATCAGGGCACCAGGTACTTTCGTTGCCACTCGCCCACCGGTACGTCGGTGGCGGCGGCGCCCTGGTCGCCACCGCTGGGCGTGGTCGCTACGCCGAGCGTGCGGTGGTACAGCGTGCGCTGCGTCCAGCCGGCCCGGGTGTCCAGGAACTCGATCGTGTCCGGCACCAGTCGAAACCCGCCCCACGCCTGCCCGACCCAGCCCGCGCACCACATCACGCGAGATATCTGTTAGCAACACCAACTGCGGGCGGCAGATGAAACCCTAGGGCTGGCGTACGGCAGGCAGCGGCACATCCCGCGGCGAGAGCATGTAGCGGTCCATCATTCCCTGCAGGTACTCTGCTCGCTCCTGTGTGCGTGTGCGTGTGCGATGGTGTGTGTGCGTGTGCGGTGGTGTTGGTGCTTTTGGCTGTGACTGTCCAGGAGCGCGGAGCTAAACGAGCAATCGTGTGCGTGTGTTGGGGTACCTGGTGGGAGGGCTCGTCGTTGCTTTGATTGAAGGGGTGGTCCTGGCCCTGGCTCAGGGCGTAGAAACAGATCTGCTCCACTCGCGAGCAGAGCCTAAAGAGCATTTCCGTCTCGCGTTTCGTCACCTGGCGAACTCCATATGTCAGGCGCACACGCACGCACGACCGCACATGAACACGCACACGCACACACGCACACGCACACAGCCGCACACGGCCGCACACACACACGCGTAGGACCTTGTGCACGACGCCGGTGATACGGACTTGGCGCAAGGTCTCGGGCCAGCGGAAGAGGACGGCGGCCTTGGGGTTCTCCTCGAGCTGCCGCGCCTTGGGTCCGTCGTAGTTGGAGCAGAACACGAACCCTTGCTCGTCCCACATGTGGCACGTCACGTTCCTGCCAGGTTACCCACACTGGCGTGAGCGCTCACCTCAGCCTTCAGGTTAGGAAGAGGAAGGGTTGGGAAGAGGGGGGTGTTGCCTGGACTGCGGTTGGCCATCAGCACCGCACGTGCTGAGGATCATGTTGTGCGCCCACGGGTTTGCTGCCACGACCCCAAGTGCGTTGGTACTCTAAAAGTGTGTTTTTATTCACTTTTTACTCGACTTATTTATTGTTGGCGTTTTCGTACGTGTGGCCAGAGCTTCGTCATACCACTCGCGCCACATCTTCCACGGCCCGAGCGCCACACGTTCGCTCCCCTCCATCTTCTTGATTTGATTAGTATTAAAAAAATTTATTTGAATTTCTTTTCTTTTCTTGGTGAATTTCATTCTTCTATTATTCGTGGCCTAGCGACCACGCAGATCCCACCGAGCCAACAATCCCAAATTTCGATTTGTCGAACATGACAAAAGCCGGCAATTTGAGGCCGAAACAAGATGTCACTCTTTGTCTTGTCGCGTGTTGGTCCGAGGTCTTCCGCGTCTGCTTCTTCCACCTCCGGTCCGCCTCTCTCCGTCACACCGAGTGACAGCCGCAAACCTCCGGACTGCGATCTTTTCTCTTCACCTTCACCCCACCACTTCCACCACCTTCACCAGGCACCATCTATACGGCCCTCGTATAGATCTTTCTCTCGGAGAAAACACACTACCAAAAAGCAAACTCTTGGTTCGTACCCACCGGTCAACGCCTTTTACGGCCAAACCAAAATAACAGTTTATAAAAGGCTGCAATAATACATAAAATCAAACTAAACAATAAAGATGGCCCATCTCGGATAAGACTCGCGCATCTCTTCTCTCTTCTTTAGGCCCCAAACCAGCTTTTATGATCGATGTAACTAACCTTCTTTTTTTGTTTATTTTTTCGATTTGTTTTTTTTTTGGTTGACTCCCGTCACTACAGGAGACATGAAGGTCGTCGGACTCGCGGTGGCGTTGGTGGCGGTGCTGGTGGTGATGAGCTGCCTGGCCCCCAACTCCGGTGCTGAGGCCCAGAGCACCAGCTGGGACTTCCTCCTGCTCGTCCAGCAGTGGGGTCCGGGCGTGTGCGCCACGTCGCGCGGCAAGCAGTGCGTCATCCCGTCCTACGTGCGCTACTGGACCCTCCACGGCATGTGGCCCAACAACTTCGACGGCTCGTACGTTCTCTTTCAGATCGCATTCAGCCCCACAAAGCGATATTTTCATCTTATTATGATTATTAATTAATTTATTTTCGTTTCCCGGTCAAAGAAATCGGTCAATTATCTGATTGGCTCCTCATTATTCCTAATTCATTTTATAGAGTTTATTATTTCGTTATTTTTGATTTTATTTGTTTGTTTTTGCGCTAAATGAACGTGTTGGTGGCGTAGGTACCCCGCGAACTGTCCCGATTCGGAGTCGTTCAACATGCAGAGGCTCGAGCCCATCCGCAAGAGCCTGACCGCCTACTGGCCCACCCTCTACCCCAGCAACACCCTCGAGAGCTTCTGGGAGCACGAGTTTGAGAAGCACGGCACCTGCGCTGCTTCGGACCCCACCCTCGCGACCGGTACGCTTTCACGCAACACGCTCTCGATCGGCCCTTTGTAGTGGTCCTCATTGCTCACATTCCACCACCACCACCACATTCTACCACCACATTCCACCACGGCAGAGCTGGCCTATTTCAACGCCACCCTGACGGCCCGCGCCACCTTCGATATTTCCGTCGCCTTCTCCAAGGCCGGCATCCAGCCCTCGTCCAACAAGGCCTACTCGGTACCCACTCCAACCCTACAACACGACACGCACCGCACGACACACGCGCACCGCACGACACGCGCAGAATGCTGATTTTTCTTTTTCTTTTTGGGGTGTTCGCAGATCGACACGATCAGCAAGGCGATCCAGTCCGCCTACGGTGGTGTGCCCCTCGTGCAGTGCTCGCGCGAGAGCTCCCGCGCCCGTGGCCCCGAGGCCCTGACCTCGATCGGCTTCTGCATCTCGTCGAGCCTCACCATCATCGACTGCCCCACCAACATCATCCACAAGGAGGGCTGCCACAACTACGACGATGGCGTCTACTTCCTGCCCTTCTAAAGCGCACACGTGTTTGGCGGCTCCAAACCAAACCAAGCAACACACGCACACGACACACTCGATGAAGGTTGCAAACGCGCAACGCAACGCATACCCAACATGATTGCTTGATGCGTTCTCGCTGCCGCTCGTGGAGGAGGTCGGGGTGTGTGTGAAGGGGGTATCCACGTGGTTCACCTCTCAGCTGTTATTATGTAGCAATAGAGTGTAATTTTCGCCGTTTCACCCTTCCAGAAAAGAAGCCACATTCCATTGTTGGTTTGCACGTGCGCTGGCAGATGCTGCGTCCACCGCTGGCACTCCGGAGGTCTGACGGCAGCGGCACGGCCGACGATGCCTCGTAGCAAGCTCTTTCCCGAGCAGGTACGCTGGCGCCCGCCGCAACCGCCGCGGCCACCCAAACCTGGGTGCAGACGACAAGGCGGAGGAAGTTTGGCGCAACTGATGGCACTACCTGCTGGGGGGGAGGGGAGACGGTGGAGCCCCTACTCCAGAATCTGACCACACCCACATATCCGAATATATCCGAATATATAGACGTAGTCAGCAACACAAGAAAGTCGAACGGCAACAGGATGCATGCCCACACGCACCTTTTGGATCTCGGGCGGGAAGTGCGGCTTGTGGGCAGCCGCGCAGGTCATGCAAAAGCGCTTGGCGTAGAATAAGCTACATTGCTTCCCCTGGCAGACGTCTGCTCTTGCCCCCACCATCATCACAGCCAGACATCACCTTAGAATATAATCTAAGGCATGGTGGGAGTGCATGTGTGCACCATCGCCACATTGGCTGCACTTGGCGCCCAGGAACAGGGCCGCCTGCTGCTGTTGGTGCTGCTGCGGGCTCGGGAACGGATCGCGCATCACATAGGCCTCCTCCAAGAACCTGAGCAGGGTGGTGCACCACCGCCCATCATCAGTGCCTCGCATGTACACGCCACCACCGGCCGCATGGCACCAGCCGTAGAAAGGGGAAAGAGACCCGGGGGGGGGGTGGCGCATACACGAGCAGGGGAGCGAAGGGTGGTTTGTGGCCGAAGAAGTCGTAGTGCCACTCCTGCCCACACTGACGGCATGTGAAGTGCCCACCGCGCGGGGGTCCTGCCTTGGCCGCTGCTGCTGCGGCTGGTGGCCCTGGGGCAGTACTTCGGCTCGTCGCTTCCATCGCTACACGCTGAAAAAAAGAGAAGCGCAGAAAAAGCAAAGAAATGTTTTGCTGACAAGCTTTTCTTTTGATTTTCTTTCAAATAAATTCAGGCGAAACGAGGCCCTGGGGCACGTCTTAGACCCTCAGTCCTTGGAACATACTGGCCAGGTCGTCTTGCTCCGCAGCGGAGCACTCCAGCCCGCTCTTGCATCGTTCGCACAACGGGGCCAGGTGCGGCTTCTTGGGTTTTTCTTCCTCTTCGTCATCCTCTTCCTCCTTCTTCTTCTTGTACTCGGCCCTGTGTGGATACGCCTTTCCCTTACATCTCTTACATTGCTGTTCACAACCCACAACCCACCTTCCAGTCAGTCTCTATACATTGTAAACGATGCAATTTGCAGTGCATGGTTGCAGTGAGTACCTGGTAATGGGAACAATAGGCGTGTGCGCTTGTCCAGGTGAAGCTGCAGCCGGGGCACGAGAACTTGGCCACCAGCGGGCCCTTCTTCTCGCGGTGCTTGTCGAGGCGAAACTGCGCTCCCGTCTTCAGGTCGCAGTCGGGGCACCAGAAGCGTTTGTCGTTCGTATTCACCACCGAATGGTGGCGGTGCTGTTGTGGTTGTGCTGTGCGTTGGCGGCGCCTGCCCATGGCTTGTACGAGTTGTTGTTGTTGGTAGTTATAGTTGTAGTTGGCGACTGTTTGCATGGCGGTGGAGGGACTTGGTAATGAATAGCCAGAGAGCGACTGCCCTTTTAGCCGCAGGCTCAGATGTAGCAAAGGTCGGTATTGGCCGGCACTTTGTGCCTCCTGTGCGTAACAAACCAGTTTACCAAACACTTTCCGAAAGAAACAGAACTATATTTTGGTGTTTGGTAAAAATTTCAGCTGACGCCCTAGTCGATTTGTTGGCCGGCCTCGTCCTCTCCATCGTGCGCCTCTGCCTCCTCTTCTTCGCTAACAGCCTCGCCGCGGGCTCTGCGCTCCTCGCGCTCGCGCTCCCGTTTGGCCTTCTCCAGCCGCGCCAGGACTTCGCGCCGCTCGCGCTCGGCCCGCTCGCGCATGCGAACCTCGTACGGGTCGACGAACACCGCGCGCGTCCAGTCCTTGAAGTGGGCCGTGAACTCGGGCGGCTCCTGGCCCTCCACCACCTCGACCACCTCGCGCTTCTTCAGCGGCGGCAGCTGGGCGCCGCCCGCCGGCTGCTGGCTGCGTCGCTGGAGGCTCGCGCGCGATAGCAGGAAGCTGGCGTACTGGGCCGCGACGTGGCGGGCGCCGACGCGCAGGGTCTCGCCGATGTCGTTGCCCATCCACAGGTGGAGCGGCTGCGGGTCGTCGGCGCACCCGCTGTCGAGCAGGTAGACGGCGCCCGAGGCCAGGTCCTTCTGCCCGTAGTCCACCACCTCGGCCGCCTTGAACTGGCCGCCGCCCTCAAAGTAGAACCGACACAGGCGCGCCGCCGATGGCTGACCCGCGCCCGCGCCGCTGACGTCAGCACCGCCGGCGGCGGTGGCGGCGGTGGTCTGGCGGTGGAGCGGGACGTCGTCGCAGCCGAGGGTCATCCAGAAGTCGGCGTCTTCGCCCTTCTCCTCGGCGACGATGATCTCGAGCTCCTTGTTCTCGGTCTCCTCTTCGGCGTGGCCCAGCACGTTGACGTACTCCATAAGCGCGTCGCGCGTGGTCTTGGGCGAGTGCGCGCCGTGCCACACGAACAGCTTCTTCTCCAGCTCCGGCATACCTGCGCGCACGCACGACACGACACGACACGACACGACACGACACGATACGACACGATACGACACGACACGACACGACACGACACGACACGACACGACACGACACGACACGACACGACACGACACGACACGACACGACACGACCAACGACACGACACGCATTCAGTCACGCACACTCACACGCACGACCGCACACGCACGACCGCACACACAAGCGCTGTACCGTTGGGATCGGGGGTGGCGTTGGACTTGGGCTGGAAGGAGTGGACGAGGAAGGAGTGGCGCGAGTCGAGCGACGACTCGACGGCGGGCACCTCGACCATGCGCATAGTGTCGTCCGCGGCCGTGTGGAGGCAGTGGTACATCAGCACCTTGCCCTTCAGCCGCTCCTCCTGCGCTCGCGCCAGTGAATCCTTGCGCAGGCCTGGCTCACCAAGGTTTCACACAACCGTCAGCATGCCGTGCGTGTCGTGTTGTGTGTCGTGTTGTGTTGTGTGTCATGTGTTTCGTGTGTGTCGTGTGCGGTACCCTTGGAGATGGAGATCATGCGCTCGAAGATCTTCATGAAGGCGAGGGGCTCCTTGCCCTGGTAGATCCGCTCGACTTCGGGCTTGGGGCTGCCGCTCCGCAGGATCTTCTCCTCGAGCAGCGGCTGGAGGCCCAGCACGAACATCGGGAACCGCAGCGACGACGCGTCCTTGCCCTCCCAGAAGTAGACGCGCCACTTGGGCTTGTCTCCTGTGGTCGACAGACACAGCGACTCAGCACCACATGCCCGACCGCACACACCCGACCGCACGCGCACGACCACACACGCCGCACACGCCGCACACACGCGAACCTTCGCCTTGAGGAGCGGGACGCGGCTTGTAGGTCTCGAGAATGAAGTAGCACTCGGCGGAGAAGAAGAGGCCCTGCTCGGCCTCGTTGATCTTGATGAAGGTCTTGCCACCCGTGAGGATGCCCACCTCCACGGCCACTAGCTCGTCATCGACCGCCGGCCCTCCGGAAGTCC